AAGAAATAGAACAAGTTAAGTGTGAGCCGCATGCGTTGGTTAGTCGTTTCGGTCATGGTATTGTGTGCCTCTATTTCGCTCTCAGATAGGAACGTTTGACTCGCCCCTACCCCCAAACTATTATGGATGAAAAAGAGAACTCATATTTGGTAACCTCTCGCGAGCCTTAATGTAAAAGATATTAATAACAAACTGAAGCGTGTCCGGAAATAAATTTCGTATCACCACTCGAACGTTATAGGTTTAACAAATCTTTTTCTCAACATTTATTTTCCTCAAGTATGTTCCATTCCATTACACTTTTGCAATAATAAATTTAAGTTTCACCCTCACGCCCAAACTTTCAAACCTTTGACTTGACTCCTACCATCAAGGTTTGGGTCAGCTTCTATCAACCGGTGGAAACTTACGATTTTAAATTGGCTCACTACTTGACTAGCCTATTGCTCCCAAGCAAACGATTAACCTACCCCATTCTATTCAAAATTCTAGTACTACAGTATGTTTGTTTTGATTTACTATGAGAGTTTGACAGATAAAATGAGGGGTTCGTAGATTTTCCTATGTTTCGATAGGGGCATAGATTAGCTGGGGACCGAAGAGAGTACCAGAGCTGAGCCAAAAAGTTGAGCACGTTATTTCGGGACCTTCTAGTCTTAGAGTTACCTCTATGGTAATACCACCAATTTGAAAGTTCATCTCCAGAAGCATCCGCAGAAGGACAAAACGTTACGGTCGCAAAATGTATCCAAGTGTCAGGATCAGGAACAATATTTGGCTCAACCTCCTACTCCCAGTACAAGCAACCGGTGGAAACTAACGATTTCAAATTGGCTCACTACTTGACTAGCCTATTGGTCCCAAGCAAATCGATTAACGTAGCCCATTCTAGTCAATATTCTAGTACTACGCAATGTTTGTTTTGATTTGCTATGAAAATTTGACAGATAAAATGAGGGGTTAGTGGATTTTCCTATGTTTCGAGGGGTGAATCGATTAGCTTGGGACCGAAGATAGTACTAGAGCTGAGCCAAAAAGTTGAGCACGTTTCTTCGGGACCTACTAGTCTTAGAGTTACCTCGGCACATCGGCATCCACAATAGATCTAATGTTTAAAGAAACGCAACTTTGAACGGGTATTTTATGTTATTTTTTTGTTTTAAATTCAGTTTGAGGTTAGAAATTCACTCGTTTTTAAATATTGACTATGGGTAAAGCGAATTTGGAATTATATTATGGAGGTTTCCAGTCAAACTCCGTTCAAAAGCTTCCGCAAAAACTAGATAACTGGTTCCGAAAAGTCCGTTAAACTTCCAAGAAGTTTGTCAAACTATTATTATTATTATTAATAGTCAGTAAAATATTTGAAAGGACCGTAGATCTTCCAACTCCGTAGAATATCCAAGAAGTCGTGTTGTGTATTGTATGGTTTGTTGTAGTAGTTTGACAGATTATTTTCTGATACCAAACATTTTTCCCACTATGCCAGGTTTTTCGGTATGCATGATAATATAAGATGATATGGATGAAACTGGTCTCCAAGAGATATTATACGCCGTTGTTCAGGGGGATAAAAGGGGTGATCGTGTATATGGATAATTTGCTTGTTCATGGTACTACAGGGGAAGAACACGACTCTACGTTGAAGCCCGTCTTACAAATATTCTTGTCTAATAAGTCTTGGATCGCTTTTTCCAGCTCTTAATGGTAATATGCTCCTTCTATATATATGACGCAGAACCAGTTATCAAATAATATATATTATAGCACGATTATTAAGCTCGTGTTATTTTATTAATAATGGGAAATTAATTGTAACATTCTAGATGATGGACTAGAATGGATTCATGATTGTGAAAAATTATCAACCGTTCTCGATTGTGGAAGACGAAGGTTCTGTTAATTTATTGAAAATTCTGGCACCTAAATACAAAATTCCCAACCGTACAACTCATGGCAAAGCTAGTTGACGACAAGTATTCGAAAGTGGTCGAGTGTGTCAAAACAAAAATTCAAGATAAAGACTTGACCATTACCCAGACAACCAGAAGTCGTATAAAAATGTACAGACAGTATCGTAAATTGCTACAGTTTAAGTCAAAATCGCATTTAAGAATGGCATACATCGCATTATGTTTAAGTTAAATCGAATAGAATGCATATTTCCGACTTATATGCGATGACTCATTTTTCCGTCGTACTGTATCACAAATTAAATCAGACTACATCGTAAGACTTTTCAAAATGAATTTGTTATTACATATTAAATCGTATATGATGTTAAATCAATTCGTTTAAAATTAAATTAAAATATGCACGTATATGGCCTCCACTTTTGTACGTATAAGCCATTTCTTTGCATTCTATACGAATTGTTTGTTTGTTTATATGTTTGTATATCCCGAAAACAACTTTGAATATACGTGCATTCTGGTTGTCTGGGTACTGCTAAACACCTGGACCGATAGCCATACTACTAGGAGCTATTTGGGAGTAACTTGTCACTTTTTGAGCCCTCAAATTTCTACAAGTCTCCAAACGATTGACTTGGTCGTTTATATCATGAATGAACGGAACAATAGTGCATACATTTCAACTTGCTTTGAGGAAGTTCTGTTTAATTGGGCAATTCCCAAAGATATGTGGGCATGATATGTTAAAATCTGTTGCGGATACATTCTCTGAAGATGAACATATTGGCTGTGTAGCCCATGCTATCAATCTCGTTGCGAAAAAATCCTTTGTAACTACAAACGCTCTATCAGAACTGATAGATAAAGTAAAGAAAATAGTTGCCTTTTTCCGGAGATCAACAATCGCAACAGATAAACTGCACAAGCTACAGATTGAAGATGATGCCAAAAGAACACCTCTGAAAATTACTTCATTTGTGCCTAGCAGATGGAACTCGGAGTTTATCATGGTTAAACGGTTTCTAGAGCTGTACAACTTCATACAGATCATTATGTCGGACCAAGATCGCTCCTCAGAAATGGTTAATTTGGAGGGAAAAAGAAATCTGGAGGAAGTCGTCAAGCTACTAAACTGCCCTTTTCAGCATAGTTTTGTTATTTTTCGCGACATTTTCTGAACAAAGTATGAATTTTTTCGTGTACATTGTAAAGTGATGGTACTTGACAATCGATTCCAATGTATAACTCATAATCGCCAAAAATGCTAATGGGACTGTTATGCCGCACAGGGCAGTAAAGCCCCTTAACGAAGTAACTGAAGATTTGAGCGGTCAAGATTATGCGACAGTAAGTCGGGTGCTGCCTATCATAAACTGCCTGGCCAATTGCATCACTGCTATGAAGTCAGTATCATCGGTTAGAAGAAACCTCCAAGCATCCTTGTTAAGAGAAATCCAATCCCGATTTGAAAACTACCGAGCCTCGCCTGTTTATGGACCAAGTATGTTTCTGGATCCTCGATTTAAAGATGTTCATTTCAAGAGTGAACGCAACGCTGCTACGGAAATAATCATCCACATGGTCCTACCGCAAGATGAAGGATCTGATGAAGAAGATTTTGTTGACGAGGAGCCGCCGAGGAAGATCCCTACCGATAATGGGATTTGGAGTTACCACGAAGGCATGGTTAAACGTTACAACAAGCGAAGGGTAACAATGCGAACGCCAGACTCCATTCGCAAGGAAATTGACATGTATATGAGGAGTGGAATCGAATCAATGACGTATGACATTTTTCGGTACTGAGAGCAGCAACAGAGCAGATTTCCATTTTTATACCAGGCAGCACTGAAGCTTTTCCCAAGGATTGTAACCTCGGTGCCATCAGAGCGTTTGTTTTCAAAAACAGGGCGAATTTTGATTGAGTCTCGAAGCAGTCTCGATCCTGAAAGAGTTAATCAAATAATTTTTCTCCTTTCTCTCTTTCTTTTGATGCTTCTGGTTTTAAAAATGCAAAATAAACGCCGGAAAGCAACAGAGTACTTTTAAAGTGTATTTTTAATTATTATCGGATATTGGACCCTACACTACACTCTACACTCCAAGTTCCCGTTGTTTCAAATTGATCTGAAATTTCAGACTTTACCCATTATTGATTAATCACAATACAAATTGTGACCGAATGCGGACTTGAGATTACTAGACTACCACCTGTCTAGAAGCGTCTTTTAGAAGCTTCAGAAGATTCTTTCAGATAAGGCCTGAATCGCGTGTTTGAAAGTATTTTGAATATTTATTTTGATTACTGAAAACATTAATTGCCTGTCGAAATCGTCATTTCCCCTAGTTTCAATGGCATTTCTTTCAAATATTAAATAAAAATTTAAAATAATACGAAGTCTCAAATCTCCACACTCATCTCTAACAGATCCCAGTCTCATTTCGAACCATTTAATTATTTGAGCAATTACTCGTAACACAGTAAAATGACCATTTTCTCTTTCCACCTTCTCACCCACCGGCAGGCAACAACTGGGGCTGGTGCGGTGACGGTACAGGCAAAATGGGCTGTGGCCCGCAGGAACACTTCCGCACCTGTTCCGACATCGGAATCTACGAAGTCAACGACGTACGGTTGGCCAGGTCGTACGAATATTGCAACGCCAGTCCACGGTCGCTGGATTGGATCTTCGACAACATCCCGGAAGAAGAGAACCTCATCGATACGGATTGATGATGATAAGCTTGGCGAAACATTATTTTGCAGTTAGTTTTGTTTTCTTTTACTCGTATGTCAAGTGGTAAGGCGAAATGCAGAGTTTGTGTACGTACTAGGTAGTTATCTTTAAATAAACATTGTTGAATGGTATTAATGACGGCTTACTAAAGAAAAGAAAATACTTCGAACACGTGACGATGCGGTCGGTTGATAAAGTCCAAGGGCACTTATCCATATCAATCACATTGCTTCTAATAGAAAGGAGTGGTCATCGCATAAATTTTACCCGAAATGATTTCATTCAAAAGCTGTATTCTAAGATTGTTAACCGTAGTGGATAATTAATTTCAATTATATTTTCGGTAATAATTTATCATGGGAAAGAGCAATACTTGAAAACTACCAAGTTTAAGGGAATAACAGAGAATTGTACGCATCTGGAAGAATTTGAACAGAGATGAAAGGATAGACAATGGATTGAAAGGGGAAAGCTTACATCAATCTTAGTTCAGCGCTACTTAAACGAAAAATCTAAAAACTAAAGTAGAGCTTCAACGCTCCAATTCCAATCGTTCTTACCGACTAAGCAAAAAGCATATCATTTCTCACAACACACTCACTCGGGGACTAGTTTTTCTTCAGTCCTTCCAAGAATTGGGACAGATCGTACTCCTCATGGTACTGGTTGTCGTCCCACAATTCCGGTAAATTTTCCAGTACGTTCTTCATCGTGGACCCGTTGGCACCATTAGCGTCGCTTCCGGCAGCCGCCGTGGAACCAGCGCTCGTGGAACCCTTGTCAACCTTGTCCGCCCTCCGGCCGCCATCGCTCAGCGCAAATAAATCCAGCAGCTGATCCGTGCCCATCGTTTCCATCGAGGCATTTTCGTCGCTCACCACCGTATTGGCCGTTAGAATTTTAAACTTTTGCAGTCCCATGATCTTCTCCTCGAGAGACTTTCGGGTGATGAGACGATAGACATTTACCACCTTCTTCTGACCGATTCGGTGAGCTCGGTCCATGGCCTGGAGATCCTTCATCGGGTTCCAATCGTGCTCGACAAAGATGACCGTATCCGCTCCGGTTAGATTCAACCCCAAACCGCCGACCTGAATGAAGAGAGTACGGCAATTTTAGTTTTGTACTAACTAACTCCATCGTATGATGAGATATCATGGAGGCGCATGGTAGATTTCAAAGAACGAACGAAGCTCAAATTTAAAAAAAAAATCACGTGGTTACGCATGGTGACTGTGACCAGCCAATCTCGACTTGCAATTTCCCGTTTTTTTTTTCGATATACCTACGCGCCACAAAAAAAAAATCTGCTGTGTATATTATAATCCACTTAACCGAGTGATTCTATTTGGCTCAATATATGGCTTCTATGTTTTAACTACCTTGAAAAAGTTCGCTCAGAACTCTTTACATGATTTTTATAAAATGTTCTCAACGTTCCTTTAAAAAAATTTCTTAACAAAACTCTTTTCAGAGTTTCTCTAAAATTAAGTTGAGGTTCTCTCTGCAAGTCCTTTCAAAATGTCTTTATAGCATTTCAGAAAACTAAAAAAAATCGAGTATTTCATCCTAAGATTCGCTTCAAAAGAATTCACTGAAGTTTCTTTCCATACCTCTATTTATAATATATCTGAATTCTCCATAGAATGTCCATGCAATTAACCTCAGAATTGTCTTACAATTCTGCTCATAATTATCTTGGAGCTCTCCTCTAAATTCTTCTGACAATTTTCATGGCATTCTCCTTAGGATTCTCTAGAATTATTATCGGAATTCTCATAAAATTCTTTTCAGAATTACTTTGGAATTGTCCCCTCAAAACTCGATCCCCTTGGTATTTATCGCGAGATTTCCTTGTAATTCACTTGAAATTATCTTTAAATTTTCTAGGAACTCAATACCCTCAGCATTTCATTGGAATTTTCATCACAACCCTCATAAAATTCTTCTCAGAACTTATTTTTAATATTCAATAGAAATGAACCTGGGATCCTCTTCACAACCATCATGAACTTTCCAAAAGAACTACCTATAGATTCTACTCTGATCTCACACAAATCAGTTCTAGTGAAATCTCTCTTAGTCTCTTGGTATTTTTCTCTGAAATACATTGTTGCTATCTTCAGAATTGATTCTAAAATCTCTTCAAAATTCTCTAAACATCAAGTTCATCAAAGCGAATGTATCCTGAAAATCTTGTCCAGTTCAAGAGTCCTAATCCAGTGTTCACTCGGCTGTCGACAAAAGCAGACCACTCTTGATGTGTGCTACGCGATCGGCTATTTTCTCGGCAGCAACCATTGTGTGGTCCTCCTCATTGTTCTTCATCAGCAGTTCTTTCGGTCGATGCGTCGTCGACTTTGGAAAGCAACCGTTTCGTGATGAGTGTGTGAGTGCTGACCACGTTTTGCGTCCATTGCTGCAATGGACGCGCTCTGACCCTCGTTGGCGTACAACAATTTGCCATACAATGAAACTACTGGAAGCGCCTCCAGTTCTGATAGCGGAAGATAAAGTGTTTATTGTGTTGTACCTTTTGACTATATTTTTAAGATGTATTGTATAGTATACCATGAATCCTCGGCTCTGTAAAGTTAATTCGGTTGAGCCTTACCAAATAAATTAATAAACAAAACAAAGAGTCCTAATCCCTGAGTTACGTGATAGCATACACACTTCAATTATATTTTCCTGAAGTCACGAAACAACCTACCTGAGTTGTCAGCAGCAGCACATCGATGCTGGGATCACCGTTGAACTTGGTCACGATTTGGTGACGCGAACTAGGTGGGACACCTCCGTCCAACCGCAGATAGGACACTGCCGGCAGGTGCTTCTTCAGCAGATCGTTCTCGATGATATCCAGCATGGCCTTCAGTTGACAGAAAATCAAAGCCCGGTGCTGATTGACCGACATGTCCTCGTTGGTTCCGATGCCACAGTCGAGCAGCAGTTGCCTGAAAAAAAAAATCATCCGTTGAGCATGTTTGAAATCGATATAAAAATGAGCCCCCTTACTTCAAAGCCGGCAGCTTGGCAGAGTGCTCGATGTCATCCAGCGAGCTTCCGCTACGACTAATTTCCGATGTAATAGTTTGGTACTCGGGATGCGATGCCTGCAGGACTAGTTTTGGATGGTTGCAAACATTTTGCAGATACCTGTAAGAATTGAATATTAGAACCACTCATCTCGTAACCGCACAACACCAAATAACTCACCTCAATGCCTGGAACACGTGCGTCTTCTTGCTCACGATCTGCCCGTCGATATTTTCCAGACACTCCCGTATGTCCGAATTGAGGTGCGTCCGGCTAAAGTCCTCGTACAGCCGTTCCTGCAGTGGACTCAGCTCGCACAGCAAATCCTGTGTAATCTTCGGAGGCAGATCCGTTAGCACATCTTCCTTCACACGCCTCAACAAAAACGGAAGCACCTGCCGATGAAGGGCTTCCATGGCCAGTGCTCCAGCTTCCTGCTCCTTTGGAGAGCTCTTTGGATCGCGACTCGCCAGAATCGGACGGGAAAACCGGGTACTGAATTGCTTCTCCGTTCCCAAGAAACCCGGCATCAGGAAGTCAAACAACGACCACAGTTCCAGCACGTTGTTCTGGATGGGCGTTCCCGACAGGATCAACCGATGGTTCGCAACCAATTGTTTGATAGCTTTGGAACTCTTCGTTCGACCGTTCTTGATTATGTGACCTTCGTCAAGTACGCAATAATTCCAGTGAACGGAACTGAAGAACTCAATGTCCTTGCGAACGATCTCGTAGGACGCAATGATCAGATTGTACGTTCCCAGTTTGTGACGAAGTCGTTCACGATCCACCGGTAAGCCAACATAGTGCAGCGGTCGCAGGAAGCGAGTTGGCAAGAACTTTTCCACCTCGTACACCCAATGACCAGTTAAGGTCGGTGGACAAATCACCAAACTCGGCAGCTTAGCACACTTCGGATCGACACTGCGCTGGTAGTGATCCCCAGCAAGAATGCAGATCGCCTGCAAGGTTTTTCCGAGACCCATATCATCACACAGAATCCCATGTAATTTGTACTTGTTCAAGAACCATAACCAGTTGACTCCCGACTGCTGATAGCTGCGCAGATCGGCATTGATCTTGACCGGTATCTTAAAGTCCGGAATCGTCTTGGGCGTGAAGAGATACTCGAGGAATTCCTTGTCTTTGAGTTTGCGATTCTTGAGATCTTCGGAAAGTCCCCGCACATCGGGAGTGATCCCATCCAGGGGCATCAGCTGAATTAGTGTGGCAAAGCAATGGGTCGATACGAGTCGAACCGATTGATCGGGATCGCTCATACGGCCCAGTAGAGGGACAACCAGTAGCACCACGTACGGAACAATTTCCATCTGTAGCTTGCTGACGATACAGGCTATGGCTTCTGCAGCCCCTTGTCGCTTGATCACGTTCTCGATTGACGAAAGCATGGGCACGATATCGTTGATGACCATGGTCATGACGACCTGGGAATCAACTACGGCAAGCGTACCCAAACACCGACCGACCATATGACGAATCGCCTTCAACGGATGCCGTAGCAGCAGGCAGAGCTTCGGTAGCAACTGGAACAGTTGATCGTGTAGGGCCTGATCAATATGCCGCGAGGCAACTTCGATCAGCTGCAGCGACGTCATGAAGTCATTGGTATCTTCTTGGTTCACGATCTCCCTACTGAGTCGATCGACGTAAACTTCATCTACTTTGGTTATGATCTTCTCCGTCATCAGCTGCCACAGGACGGGAAGTTTTTGTGGCAGGGTTTCCTTGAAGTACGAGCAGATTGTGGTTATGGCATGCGTGGCACCAAGCCGCTGAGTACGGGCGTGCTTGCGACTAGTTTCTTCGTTTTCGTTGAGGATATCTTCGGCCGTTGGAGTATCCGAGGTAACCGAAGCTGGCCTGCCGGGGCCTCGAGAAGCAGTACCGTTGTTACCTTCCTTGGACTTCTGTTGATTCATGAGTGTTATTATTCCATGGTACAAATTGGTGTCAGCCGTATTGGCCGGATCAAAGTGGCGCATTTCCCGCTCCGGAATAACCAACTTCGGTGTGAATTCCAGGTCGCTTTTCAGCAAGGTACAGAGGTTGGAAACAATCTTGCTGTTCGGACAGGGATTGCGAACCGTAATTTGTCCAAGCAGATCGGCCAAATATTTGGCAGACAGTTTCTGCAGGAGTTCACATTCTTCACGTTTGATGGATTCCATCAGTGGTTTAACAACCGGATTCAACTTCTCCGGCAGGCAGTGCAAACTGACTACAGCTCCCGAAAGCGATGCTTGGGTACTGATGTGAAGGGTGTTCTGCTCCAAAGACGTGCTGGCATGTGAGTTGAGCAGTCCCCGTCGCCGTTCCTCCATCATCTCGGCAATCTTCGTCTTCAAGCCGTACTTGTTTTTTGTGTTATCCGACATCACCGTGCAAAGCTGGAAGATCTGATCCAAGCTCAACACCTTTAAATTCTCAAACTCCACGAACTGGATCTTGTGCTGCTTCAGCGTGGCCAGGTAGTCTCGACTTTCCTGCAGCAGTCTGGTGAAAAGAATACCCACTTCATCGTAGTAAACGTACTCATTTAGGCAGACCTTCAATCGGTCCTGGAGCGATACGGGTCCCGGTTTGATGGTGTCATCGCACGAACACCAAAATGCAATCACAAGGCTGGCGATCAAGCGTTGCAGTGCCGAACGGGACTGCAGATAACCGAGCAATACTTTGGTATAACAATCGATGGGACTTTCAATTTCCGAGGTGTACACGACGCCCGGAGCCGGCAGGACCAAATACCGGGACAACAATCCAATCATTTTCGACGCCTTAATACGGGCTCGAATGACGTTCCTCTCTCGATGGTCGATCGGAATGGTTTCCGATCCACCGAGGAACAGTTTCTGACGCGACGGGATACCACTGTCGAAGGAGTCGAACTGACGGCGACGTTCCCGTATCTGGGAGGGTTGAGTCGGTTTAGCGTAAATCAAAGAGGACGGATCGAATGCCAATCGGACCGGTTGCATAGCCAGACAGAGCCAGCTGGCTACGTACGGACAGGAAGCGTGGAGGAGGGCCGACAATTCCGCATTCGTAACGAGGTTGTTCCAGACGTCTTCGGCTGATGATTGAATATCTTCGACGTGCTCCACCAGCACCCGCTGGAAGATATGGCGTAGAGCTTCCTGCAGCAAAGCGGGCGGCCACTCCTGTACTCCGAAGTTCAGAACCAGGTTTTCCGAAGGATCTACCTGAAGAATTGTGTTTGTTTCAGTAGCCGCCTTGGCCAAGGCCTCCGCTGTACTGACAATAACGGACGTGGCTTTGCCGTTCATTCCGTTGCTTCCGGTTGGCGTGGATGGCTCGCTTTGGGCCGCTAGTTTACTATTGGTGAGGGTTTTCAGCGTTTGTAGAGTAGATCTTCGAACGGAAGAAGTGCAGTGGCTGAGAAATGGCCATAAACGTGGCACTAGAATGGACATTGGCTCCATTTGGATCCAGTTGGAGGCATTCGGAAGACAGAGAATAGATGCCAGGAGTCCCATGAAGCTGTTGCACGCGGAAGCCAGTTCGTCTTGATCCAGCAGAAGATCCCACAGAAGTTTGACAATGTGAGAGACTTGTGTTTTAGTAAGCAACTTTGGTAGCCAGGAAGCAATGGGAATGAGAGTAGCTGCCGCTACAGCTCCTACGTCGTCTACGGAGTCGAACAGCCCCGTCAGAACATCGTTGATGATCACCGGTAGGAAGGTTTGAACTAGGTCTTCCCGAACGACTAGCATATACTTGATGCCCAGCAGGCCACCGTGACGAACTTCCCAGTCCTTCTGTTTGATGAATGTTAGGAGAATGTTAACTGTTTTGTGGACATTTATCAAGGGCAGTTGCTTCAAAACCGTACCGAGAACTTGGGCGCATGTTTCCCGCACGGGGGCGACAACCTGATCGGACACAAAGTCTCCAAAACGATCCAAGGCCAACACGCAAAGTAATCGCAGTGTAGCATCCTCCAACCAGAGCTGGTGTTGCTCGTCCATCTGTTTCTTTGTCATGAAAATACTTTTCCCAGCTCCTTGCGAATGGCTTTTGAGTAACTCCCGCAGAGCCGTCGCTGAACCGTGGCGTGTTTCCCATCGCGGGCTAAACAAGTCCATGTAAAGCTTGGAGCAGAATGACTCCAAAGGCCATTCCGTTGCATCCACCCACGCACCAGTTAAATCCGGAACGGGCTCCGAAAATGCAACAAGATCCGGTTTACCATCGGTTTTTACCCGTTTCCGATCCGGTTCGCCATCGCCTCCGGAACCATTGACAACGGTGCCGGAGTTTCCTCCCGTGACGGCATTGATGGGATTGGGAAATGCCTTCTGCTGCTCGCGTGCCTTCCTTCGGGCACGATTCTTCTCCCGACAGCTCAGCTCCTGACTAGACCTATCAGTCTCCAGCTTTAAAATCTCCTGAACTGGCATCAGTCTTTCACCTTCCTGTCTGGCCTGTTGCACCTGTACGCTTCGATTCTGCATATCGTCGATCGATACAATATCATCCAAATTTACACCCGTACTCAAACCCAACTTTTCATTCAAAAGAGCCCTTTGACGGGCCCACTTCTCCCGTGGGTCACCCCCGTCATTATCGTCGATCGCATCGAACTCCGTACCCTCGGAGCCCATCAGCCGGGCTCCCCGGTGCAACACCGCATTCAAGTCGAACTTATCGAACGACAGCCGGGAGCTGCCAGCTCCGGCCTGAGTATTGAATTCACTTCCATCGTCACCTTCCTCTCCTTCCACTCCTTTCGGGCTCCACTGGGGAACATTTTCCAGGATCGCCTGGACGGCCTGGGATGCCGCAATTCGCGTCTCCCAGTTGTTACTGTGCAGGTAGGTCAAAAGCCGACCGAGCAGATTGTGCAGCTCGTGCGGATGCAGCTTCTGCACCTCTCCGATCTGTTTGGCCGCCGCTTTCCGGGTCACGGCTGCCGAACCGGACTCCAGCAGGATGAACAGTCGGTCCAAACTGAAAAAAGGTGGGGACGGCGATTATTGGGATGCCACTATGGGAGCGCTGTAAATGGGGAGATACGATGCGGGTACGTACCGTGAAGTCATTCTTTGGTCTGCGGATGATACTTCTGAGTTGGTCCTACGCGATGACCACGATCACATCCAACGATCTGCAACAATGGGATAGGAGAAATTTGATTAGTGAACTTCTATGTGTTGCTGGGCAATTTGCCAGCTCGATAATTTGACGAATATTGCTTATTACTTAAGTAGGGTAAATGTCGACCTCGTTAATACCTTTACCGTTCATCATCAAATTTATATGGGAGGATATTTTCTATTTTTTCAACGAGGTATCAAACTATCAGCTCATTTGGTTGTATCACGAGCTGGTGCTTTTGGTTCGAAGTTATTATGGGGTTTTAAGTCAAAATGCATGAGAAAATGACAACCGGATGTCTACTCATTAAGCTAAATAAATTTTCAGCTTATGTTTTCCAGGTTTTTTCAGGACTTCAGCGGAATATTGACATGTTATCCATGAAACCTTTATTTAATATGCTATTTGAATATTTCTGTTTGTATTAAATCTTGTTTTTGTCCAGAATAGTGGCGTCTCCCTAACCTCAATGTATCTGTTCAACAAGTCTCGAAACGTTAAAAATAAAAATATATTGCTTTTGGGATCGATTTGAGTAAAGATACGGCTTTATCTTTACATTTTATCTCTTGAAATTCTACTGTCAAGCACCTTGGAGTTCTCCTTACAAATCCCTTAGTTAGAACTCTCTTGGAATTCTCTTTGGAATTACCTTGGAATCCTCTTCAGAATTCTGTTGGAAATTTCCTTTTTCATGGGTTGAAATCATTTCGATTTGCGGGTCAAAGTAGGCAGATACTTGTTCACCCACTTCTTCCAGAAGTTATCGGCGTACAGCTGGGCCATTGTCCACGATCGCTTCAGTACAGTAGGTCTATCGTCGAAGGTGATCGGGGGCCCTTTCCCATTCGAAGACCCTAGCAAGAAGTGGTTTTAGTGGGGTTTAACCATAGAGGTAACTCTAAGACTAGTAGGTCCCGAAGAAACATGCTCAAATTTTTGGCTCAGCTCTGGTACTATCTTCGGTCCCAAGCTAATCGATGCACCCCTCGAAACATAGGAAAATCCACGAACCCCTCATTTGATCTGTCGTTTGACGTTCATAGCAAATCAAAACAAACATTGTGTAGTACTAAAATTTCAACTAGAATGGGGTACGTTAATCGATTTGCTTGGGACCAATAGGCTAGTCAAGTAGTGAGCCAATTTAAAATCGTTAGTTTCCATCGGTTGGTTTAACCAACAATCAATACGAAACTAACGATTTTAAATTGGCTCACTACTTGACCAGCCTATTGGTCCCAAGCAAACGGTTAACGTATCCCATTCTAGTCGAAATTCTAGTACTACGCAATGTTTGTTTTGATTCGCTATGAAAGTTTGACAGATAAAATGAGGGGTTATTGGTTTTTCCTATGTTTCGAGGGGTGAATCGATTAGCTTGGGACCGAAGAGAGTACCAGAGCTGAGCCAAAAAGTTGAGCACGTTATTTCGGGACCTTCTAGTCTTAGAGTTACCTCTATGGTTTAACTTCGTTATCCAGCGGTATGTCAGTGAGCGGTCTTGAGTTCATGATCATTTCGATCTCCATCAGCATGGAGCACAGTATTTCAACAGAGGCCAAGCGTGGGGGGGTCGAAGTCATTCATGTTCTTCTTGACAGATTGGATCAGACGCTCGCAGCATCCACCAAAATGTGTTGGTGTTTGGACTAACGAATTCGAACATTAGTTTGTCTTGGTCGATGTGGTTCAGGGCTTCTCGCTGCTCTCGTGATGCTCCGAGGAAGTTCGTTCATCGGTCGCTAATGATCTCCAACGGCGATCCTTCTTGCAATGAAATTGCGTAAGGCTAGGATGCACGAATCTGTCGTCAGTCAGTCAATTAGTACTGGCATCGGTCCAAAATAGTCGAACCCGGTGTATGAGAACGGTCGCTGAAACACTGCCAACCGGTCAGGTTACATAAAATCCGGCCCACGGAACCAACGACTGTCCGGCTGAAAGTCTGGCAACCTTGTCCACTTCGTCCCGTCGTCGGCCTCGTTCTTTCTGGTCGGTAGCCATCTCCACTCGCCGACTTGTGTTGTATCTAGCAGCTCGCTAATCCTGAATGCCACGAATGGGCTGTAGCGCCGGTGATCAGATCGGAGCCAGCATACAACGTCACGAGAGTCAGCCCAGAAGACGCGACGTGAGATTTGCATTCGGTGTGAGCTAGCGATGCACTTAGCTAGACGTGCTCCTATTACGGCGGCCTGCAATTCAAGGCGCGGAATCGAAAGGAATTTCAAAGGGCCAACTTTTATTTTCCAACCAACCAGTGCGCACTCCGTGTTTCCTCCTCCTTCGAACCTGAAGTAAGCAACGGCAGCCATATCGTTCTCGCTCGCATTTGAAAATATGTAGTTCCACAGTATTCGTTAACTTGGCGGACGTTACGTGGCGGTAAAAACGAGGAACGCTCACTTGTCGGACGTTCGACAATGCCTCTATCCAGGTCATCCACCTTTCAGATGGCTTCCGGTTGATTTCTTGAAGCAGATTTTTCAGGCAAACCAGGCAGTTGAAGATGAGACGGTTGAAGAATTCGACAGTCCGTTACGTATTTCGAACCCTCCCTGTGAGTGAATGGATCGAACTTCGCTTGCCAACTTCACTGCTTCTTCTTCAGTCTCAACGCTAATCAGCATGTCATCTACGTAGTGTTCATGTTTGATCCACTCGACTGCCCTTGGATAACTCTCTATGAATCGGTCTGCATTCTGGTTCGTGACCTAGTGGGCGCAACTCGGAGTTACGGACCAATGCTCCCCTGTTATACAATTCGTAACCCCAGAACCAGTTACTATGAAAACCACAATCACAGCACCTCCCATAGGACAGCATAAACATCTTCAGAATCATACCATCCCAGCATCAGTCATCGTTTGTCCATCTTTATCACCCACAAAACCAAACATTGTTCCCACGGAAGTGCAATGCTAAGCAACAGAATCATAAAACACTCAACCATCATTACTACAACCAATCATCTATGCTACAATGTAACTATCCGCTTAAATCCAAACATTTCATCATGCTGAAGTTGCATTCCTGGTAACCGTTTCTAGAACACATCATCCAACGTCAGTGATCGCCGTTCCCAGGAGATCGCACTGCAGCTTAGAGTAGGAACGTGACATTTAGGTAAATAGATAATTATGAATAATAGGACAGACACCCTGCCACCCCTGTACTTTTTCATTCATGGAATGATTCATTATACTCGATTTAGTTCAGAATTTAAGGGCTTGTAGCTTAAACAATAAGGCTAAGCCAAAATTGAGCGGTGGTAACATTCACACGGCTCAGGGCACAGGACACAGCGAATGGACTACAACAAGCAGCTAATGTCTTCTTTGAAGTGCATAACCAAGCAGTTTATTGCCTTTCTGCTGGATTTCCTTTGCAATCCTACACTTGGTGCGCTCTTTGTGCCGGTGCGGTGGCTACACTTTGCATTTTCGTTATTTCTGGGTGTGTGTGGCTTTCTTCTCTTCTCGACTGCTTTACTCTTACGCAGGAAACTAAAGGCCTCTAAGAGCAACCGTAACGGTACGCTGCTAAACTTATTTTAGCAGCCCTCATCATAGCGCAGCTACCGTATCGGGGGTTGCCATACGAGTAACTAAAATAGCAGTCGGCTTCTCGGTGAGAAGCGCGTTACCAAATTTAGCAGCGCGATAGCAGCGCGGGAGAAAGGTTGCAATTCGTAGAAATGTCGAAATGCTCACTACCGGTACGGACTACAGCGAGTAAATTGATAACCGCGATAGCAGCGACCGATGTGGAGAAGAGTGACTAATAGCGAATTCGTTTATTATCGGGGTTAACACCAGTTCCAACCCAGTGCGAAACCGAACTTTTTGTCAGTGTGAACCTCAACCTGAGCTAGGTTTTAAAAACAAACGAGCAAACTGACGTTTGTCAGAAAACAAGCAGACCCAATCTTGATACAACGACCGTTACGGTTGCTCTAAGGCTGTGAACTATTTGCCGAGTTAAATTTAACTCGTGGTTAAAAGTGACATTTCGAAAGTTATTTCTTATGTTCGAAAATCCCTGTTACCGATCGATCGGTTTTCGAGCAGAACTCAGCCACGGTTGTCAAAATTTAACTTCTTGTCTGTCAGAAGTAACCACGCTCGGATCAATGACGTTTTTATAAGGTCTGGGCCAAAGGGCTCATTGGTGTCAGTGAAATGTGCAAATGTTTAGTGGTGTTCGTATTTCATTGCAATGTTTATCTTTTTACACGAAACAGCTGTTGGCAGTGACGTATTTCTATCTGTTCTCAGTATGTTGGCAGTGACGTATTTCTATCTGTTCGCAGATGTTCAGCAATGTTTACAACATTTTTGCTTCTAACACCAGCAAGCTGCCTGTTGGCCCAGACCTTATATAAATGTCATTGCGCTCGGATAGCAGGGTTTATCGATAACTTTCCATCTGTCAAATTTTAACCAAAAGTTAAAATAATCCACCAAATGGTTCAGAGCCTAAGCAAAAGTATGAACGTCTGTCAAAAGTTGTTAAGGCCCACCCCCATTAGATCCGTTTGCATTGCGTTGACGTAAATTTGACAGTTAGACAATAGATTTAGCTGTCACTTTGCCGTAATGCGTCCGATCCGGATCTAATGTGCGTGGGCCTTTACAATCGAACTGTCAAAATGCGCTGCTTTACTCGATCGGAACCCGGGGCGGATGTTGACAATCGAGCTTCTCACTCTTCTTAATGTTTTTGAAGAATGCCCTTGGGAAAGTTGTGCGTGGTATTTGACGGAGTTGACCAATGATGTCAGGAAGGTAAAATATTTTTTCTATTTTAATTTGGATTTTATTCGGAGTTTCTACCGCAGTTTCGCATCTTGTACATCTTTTTTGCTCAACACAATAAAAACAACCATAAACACACAATATCCATCGCTTAAAACACGCAGATCAATCAATTTTTCAACTTTCCTGTCACAAATATAAACAATTCACAACGCCACTGACGTCAACATTGATTCCGGCATCACTGCTA